AGCTATTAACGATATTTATGTCTTCGCAGCTTTTGACTCTCGTAAGCTGTAATTTCCTAAATGTGTTTTTGCTTTTTTTTTCTTCTTCTTCTTCAATATTTCGTTTTTAAATATTAGATTATAAATTCTATCAAAAAATTAAATTAAAATAACTAAGTTTTTTTGATTTATTTAATAACAACTTTGATAGAATGTAATTAACTCTAATCAGTTTTAAAGTAAAATTACAAGAGATTTTTATAAATCCTCGACTCGAAATTCTTTTGAATAATTTTCATATTATTTATTTAAAAAAATAGATTTTTAAAGTTAATAAAGTAGAATTTAAAATATATATATATATATATGAGACAAAGGAAATATTAATTACCATTTAATTTCAAGAGAACTCTCGAAGGAATAGTCAATATGACAGAATAATTTCTTTCCGACTAGCGACTACACTTGACATTCTTCATTAAATATTCTCTATACAGATCTTATTAAGATCAAAAATTAAAAGTTGCTTTAACGCGTCAAGAAAGGTAAATTTTGTATGAAAAGAATTTAAAAATAAATATGGCATCGATCTACATTTTTATGGTCTTGTAATAAATAATCATTAATTAAACTGCAACAAAACGTATTATTACCAATTAATTCGCTTAAATTCTATTGTTTAAGAAGGATTTTCAATTTTAAATCTGATAGAAATTACATTGAAAGTTCAATTTTTGGGCGCAATTTTGAGCGTCTTTTCGTCTGTCTGTCTCGAGAAAAGATATGGTAAATTTAGGGGAAGGAGGCTTTCCATTAATTATATACAAAGGAAGTCACGTTGTTCCTTTTTAAAGATAAATTAAAAGAAGAGTAAAAATGGCAGCTCGGTAATATACAGTAAATATGCATTCAATTTACTTATTTATTTTCATTATTTTTGAGTTAGTTTTAAGGCAAAAATTCTGTTGAAGTAAAATTTTTAATTATTTAAAATAACGAAGCAAAACACTTAAAAAATGTTGAATTTTTTGCGGGTTTTTTTTTGGTGGAATTTCATATAAAAATGTGAAAGAAGTTTTGTTTTACTCATTGATGAAAGCTACAGAAAATTCTTGTTTTTCTTTTCTAGAAAGTGCTACTGATGCTAAAAACTCGTCTTTTATTCCTTTTGATGTCGAGTTTCACTTTGTAGCAAACAAAATGAAACTTATTCATTCTATTAGTTTCTTGCTTTATTCTACTAACTAATTCCTCTAATTAAATTCTGTTAACTAAATTTGACTATGTTACATTTAAATAAATGATAATGTCACTTGATAACTTCTAGATTTCACATCTCTTCTTTATAATAAAATACAACCGAACCTTCAATAACGTCTACCTCTAAAAATATGTCATTTTTTAAGGAACTTTTATATATTTTCTAAACAAAAATGTATACAAAATATTCACGTTCTCTTCAGTGGCCGAGGTTTTACAGTATATTATCATTATTAGAAAAATAAATAAATAATTTAATTCTTATAAAATATATCTGAACATTATCTTTTATATAATCGTTTCTGATGATGGCTTTCACATAGAAAATTCTTTTGATCCCTGGAATCATGAATTTTTCTTAGACGGAGCTTTAAGAAGAATCATCTGTAAACCTCGAAAAGTTTCAAAATTTTACGACAAATATCTTTTTTTCCCCCCTGTATTTTTTACTTTTTTTTTACTAAATATAAGTCTACTATTGCTCGTAAAGAGGAATTTAAATTTTTATATATTCTATAACGGTGAGAATATTCATTCTAATGCACTTGCCGCAGATGTATGCGGGATATAAATGCAAAAATTTGGCATCTAAAGTGAAACTAAGCTATGTAAAATATATATAAAATCGTGATTCAAGATATACTAAACTCCAATTCGAAGTTTCCTTAATATCTTTTTTTTTTTTTTTACTCGTACTTTTAGAAATTGAAACCTGTACTACAATTAATAGCATGCCTTGGAAATAAATTCTCTTTTCGCTGAATTTAACTAATTCTAGTCGGATTGTTGGAAAGAAATCTTTATATAAATCTTTAGAAAACATAAAAATTTCGATAATGTGTGAAATTCGTGTATTTAGAACAGACGTCTTTAATGGATTTCGACATCAGAACATTAGAAATGGGAATAAAAATTTGTGAGTAAAAGTGTGAAAATAAGAAAGGATCTGCCGTTGTCATGGCGACCGGATGATGTGAACAAATCCACAACGTTTGTTGGAAGATCATTGCCGAGCAATTGCGATGGTTTCTCTTTGCCAAAGCAGAACTAAACAGTCGAATTTATCGCCTCACGGATTTCCAATAGAATTTCCTTCTTCGGTATATCAATTCAATCTAAAACCAATTAAATTATTCTGTTGGATGTCGTTGGCATCTGCTATTGACCATTGCTTCTGTTGGATTTCCTTCCCCCCAAATAATCTTTGCATCGATTCTTCTTCATTCTCTCTCCAAAATGAATTAATGTCGGAAATATATATTGCTCTGCTTCCTTCCCACTCTCTTGTAATTATTTAATTTAATTAAAACATGAAAGGGGAAATAAAAAAAGCATATTTTTATATCTCATAAAGTTTTGGGTAATAAACCAGTATTTCTTGAACCAAACTTGGTTTTTTTCTTTCTTTTCTTAATGATACGAGGAGGGAGTTTCTTTTTTCAAATGATGGCATTGAAGATAAAAATTCTTTGATTTTTCTCGCTTTTCTTTTCATGGCAGCTTCTAAATATTTAACTAAATCACTTGTTGTAATGTTTTATAAATTATGAATATTTATATTTTAATAATTTAATTTGAATCCGTACTGTAAGGATTTTATAATTCTCATCAGAATATTGGATTTGTTTGTTTGTCTATGATTAATTTGTTCAATGGATATTAACTTTGCCTTTACTTTTTAAAAGAATTTTGTGTTTTGAGAATTTTATGAAGAAAAGAAATATTTTGGAACAACAATTCAGCATTAAAGTCTTAAAACGAAGCATTAATAGTATATTATAGTAAAGAATTCTATCTAAATCTTTAGAAATTGAAGATTGAATCGCTAGAAACTTGTGATGCAAACCATTGAGTAGTAAATAAACTTTAATATAATCATATAAAAGAAAATTGTGGTTAAGTTTCATAATTTTTTTCTTATTTTTCTGCTCATCTATTACATTTCTGAGAATATTTTCCCATTCAGCAGCTTCAGAATTTATGAATTATTTATCATTCGGTTTAAATAAAACTAAGAGGAAAACCGAACGATTATGATTTAAATTTTATTTTATATTTTAGTTTTTATCTCAGTTAATTCCTCAAACTATAAAATATTTCGATGATCATCCCAAATGGCTACATTTTTTTTTTCTTTTTGGAGGAAAAAAATATTTTATAGTTTAGAGGATATTTAATCAACCGTTTAACATTCGAATTTGAAAGATAGATCTTAAAGCCTTACAAAAGAGAAGGATCTTTCTGATACTCATTTTCTTCTCATATGGGAGATCACGTCTTTAATTTCACGGCTGAAAAGCAGTATTACATGATATCTATTGATATCAATCAACTTCCCAAGTGAAAAATTATACTAATTCTATTTTCTTTAAATTTTTGGTCGTTTCTGATGATTTTCTTACTTCAGTTTTTATTATTTTACTTTTATTTATAAAGTTATAGCCTTATATTTCAATTCTCGTAATATTTAAAGCGAATTTCTACTTAAAAAATTTTATTTTAATACCAATAAAATCTATACATTATTCATTTTTTTCCCTTAATGTATATCATTTAAATTTTTTTCCTTAAAGTAAAAGTTAAATTAAAATTCAATTATTAGATTTTTTTATGAAACTATATTAAGCTATAATTTACATATATTAATCAAATTTATTGACATTTTATCAGTTCATAGCAATCATTTACACTTGAGAATTTTTTAATATTTTATATCAAAAATCTAATCATTTTTCAGATAGATAAATCCAATTCGTTCTTATATCATCGATTTTAATATATTATAGTTTACAATTTATATAAGTTAATAGGAATTAAAATATTCATCGAAATTCTATTTAATTTTTGCAATAACTAAGGTTATAAAGCCTTATTTTATAAAGAATAATCTAAGATAATCGGAAAAAACTACACATCACTGGCTAAAAGTAGTCCTTTAAAATCATTGAACACTGGTAGTAGGTTCGCACGTGGAGTTTTCCGGGATTATATATGTGTATATCACTTAAATAGGGACTAGTTTCCTCTTCCGCGAAACACTCATCTTTGTGTTTCGTTTGCTTTATTCCATGCCACTTCATTCCATGGTCAAATTTAGACTTGTTATAGCTCTCAGCTAAAATATATAAGAGGCTCTTCTAATAATGATAAATTTAAAGCATGAAACCTAAGTTTTATTCTCGTAGTATGTGGCTCTAAGCTATAACTTGTTTAATGTGTAAATTTAGTCTTGAGCATAGGCGGTCCTTTGCGAAATATATGGCATTACTTGCGAGATTTATATTGCATTTTAACGAATATTTACAGGACGAAAACATATCCAGTTTATTTTTAAATTTAATTATCTTTGGAAGAGTGATATTTTTGAATATATTTTAACTAATTTTATATATTTCTTAACAGAATTTTATTCTTATTTCTTTTATCTTTTATCATTACTAAATACTCTCTATTATTCTAGATTTTTTTAAATAAAACTTTTTAAAAGTTATCTCGTTCGGAGGGGGAAGTCTACTTTTCTATCCTTAAGCAATAACCTTAAAAATGATGCTTTTAAATCTTAAAAAAAATTCCTAATTCTTCTCATCCCTCAGGCAATTGTAAGCTTACAGTTTCACTTAAGAGATTTAACTATTAATTTATTCAATGGGCATCTTCTTCGGTCATTTTCTAGGAATTTACATCTTGTTATATTTAATTATTTAATTCTTAAAAATCAAAAGTTTTAGATTTAAATAATTTTGAATTTTTTTTTTTTATAGTGGTACAACAGCAGTATCAAGTTCAAGTATACGACGAATTCGTCATTCGAGGAAATACAGCTGTTTTAAGATGTCAGGTACCGAGTTATGTTAGAGATTATGTAATTGTAACAACATGGGAAAGACAAGATGGAATATCAATTGTATCCAACATTGCTACAGGTAAATTTATTTTTCCAATTTATAAATATACTTAAACAAATTTCTTTTGATTATTTTATTAAATTTACTATTTTAACATACATAAATCATTTTAAAAAGATTCATGAATCTAATTCTTTTATCGTAATTTATGTACTGCACTTTTAAAACAGACAATAATACAAAAAAATACTGTTTTGTCTTGTAGTAACTATATTAAAAATATGTTTATTGCAAGTAATTTAATATTTATTAGTCACGCTGTGAATTGCCTTAATCTTCTTTCTTTAAAAAGAAAGAAAAAAAAAGTAAAATTTCAGTTCATTTACGTTGACGTAACTTATAGGAAATGAGAAGAACAGATTGTGAATTTGGTTGAATGCCAAACTTTCCACCACATTATTTCAATAATTGTTAGATGTAATGATATGAACTAAAATTAACGCTGATGATAGGAAGACGTTTAAAATTTATTTAATTTAGGCCTATAGTTGGATAATTGAAAGAGTTGCTAAAAATTTTATAGAATTCAAAATTCTGATTCATTTTTAAAAAATAAATACTCGTATAATCTGTATAATATTGTAAGAAATGAATCTTAACACTTTACATGCCCTTACACCCTTTGTTAATCGCTAAAAGCGCTAGAATTAATGTCGTAATGTCTGTTTTAATTTATACTATTTTATCCTTATAATTTTCTTAATAATAATAATAATAAAGACAAATTAATAATTTAAAAATCGAGCGATTAAGGGTGTCAGTCCGTCTGTCTGAAGGGTCAGAGAACAAGTTCGGTTTGGGTCAAGAAATCCCATAATTTTTGATGGTGATTCGTTCCTGATATGTTGGGTCCCGTCCCTCACCAATCGGCGCACCATGTGGGTCTGGCCGAATCCACAATTGATAAAAAGTCTTTTTAAATGCCCACAGGAAAGGAACGAGTTTAAAAAAAATCGAATAAGGAGTAATGAGATTAGCAAGTGATTTTACAAATTAGTAATAATTTAACATGATTACATTCCTTAGTGCATGAATTTATATTTATTTATTTATTGTTGACGAAGAATGCCTGATCCATTATAAAATAAAACAACAACAACAACAAAATGTCTTACTGGTAAATATTGTAAATAAAATATATTATATCTTACTGTAAATAAATATATAAAAGATTTTATATATTTATATTTTTAATATAAAAAAAANCCCTGTTACACTGATACAAAATAATTATAAATTACAAAATAGGAATTAAAAATGGTTTTTTTATTAAACATAAATGTAATTTAAGTGATTTTATTTACCTTTAAATGACCCTTAGTAATTTATCGTCCCCCAGATAAATCAATTGCACCCCTAAAGTCGCTAGCCACCATGTTATAGGGCCCAATTTTATATAAGTTCATTTAATTAAATTTGATTATATTATGCCAAATTAGTATAATTATAATTGTTTTGTTTACTACTCTTCTTAGTTTTAATTTTAAAAATCTCGATAGATCCGATGGAATAAATAATTTAAGCATGTATTTTAATCTGTAAATTATTTATAAGATCGTAATATATATTCGTATAAGCGAAAATATTTATTGTATTATCTAAACAAGTTTTAAAACTGTTTCATATTTACATTCGCATAACGTTGAAATTTCCCACATGTGCTATTTAATGTGCTTTTGAGACAAATCTATTTCAATCCAATATATTTAACGAGCTAATTTCGACTTATTTCCTACTAAAGCACTTAGTTCCACAGAGATCAACTATAAACAATAATTATACTTATCGTCCTAGTTACTGATTCCAGTAAAATCTAGGGCCTCTCAGCAATCATCAGAGACTATACATTACTTGCCCTCTTTAGGCCACCGCATATTAAAAATAGAATTTAAAAAAACTGTATCATATTTTTTGGAAAGTAAAGGCTTTCTTTGTATACACAACAAATATAATGGAATTAATAATTTTTAACAAATGGTTTAATAGGATTGGCAACGCAACTTATGAACGATTTGTTAGAGGTGATGCTTCTTGAGAGGATTTTCTATGAAAAACTGGCCTCCATCTAGATGCTAGATATGTGAGATATTTATTCAATAATAATTAAACAAATATGATGAATACTCTAGTAAATTATATAATAAACAATAGACATGTGCCAAATTCACTTATGATATTAAGAATGAAATTGCTTTTAATTAACTGAAAATCTTAGAAAGGGATGCTATTCTCGTATTATTGATTAGTAAAATAGAAAATTCTTGTTGATTTAATCAATAATTTTTGAGTTATGACATATTTCTCGATAATTATAAACATCTTTTTAACCATGACATAAACACTGAACACATGACAACCCCCCTGTGGANATTTAACATTAAAAAATTTGATCATCATCATTTTAATAGGAACGAATAAACGATCAACAAAGCGCAAAATCATTAGAACAATCGTTAAAGTACATTTCCATTAAGATAGAGGCCACTATCACTACTTCGTATGTCCTGTACTTATTCATCTCCTTTATATGGAAGTAGCTAGAACACCGAACATCTTCCTCTATAATTTAAAATTCTAAAATAAAAATATGTTTACTAAATTTCAATTTAACAGATAATATATATGTAAATGATAGTAAAATAATAGTTTACACTGTATTCGTTTTATATAATTTTAGTTAAATTTATAACCAAATTGTATATGTTTATGTATAATATATGTAAAATATAACATAGAAATATAATGCAGCGTAATAAATTTATTTGAAGTAGAATAAATTTTTATTTATTTTTTAAGTATAAATCATAGAAAAAGACAAGCAATTTCTGTACAAAATTAAGTGCTTGTATACAATAGTTTGGGGCTATTTATTTATTTATTTTTAAATAATATTAATATAAAAACTCAGTAAAATAATTAATACTGTAATTAATAATTTTTTTGTAAATGATGATGAACTTTTTTTGAAGTAACAGGTTATGGAGAATAACTAAGAGTTGTGGTTTCTTATTCTGTTTTCTTATTAAAAAAAATATTCTGAAACTCGTAATGAAATTTGAATATTTCTTGATGAAATGAAAATATATGAAATTATAATTGTTGGATATTTTTCTTAACCTGTTACTTATAATAATTAATAATTCAATCTTTATGTAGAAGAGGATCTTTCGTTTTCTTGTTAAAAAATTTAAGACAGGATTAAGAAAATATCCACAAATTTTCAAGAACTTATGAAAAAAAGATCTTTAAAATTTCCTTAAAGTAGAGTATTCATCATATTTATTCAATAATAATTAAACAAATATGATGAATACTCTAGTAAATTATATAATAAACAATAGACATGTGCCAAATTCACTTATGATATTAAGAATGAAATTGCTTTTAATTAACTAAAAATCTTAGAAAGGGATGCTATTCTCGTATTATTGATTAGTAAAATAGAAAATTCTTGTTGATTTAATCAATAATTTTTGAGTTATGACATATTTCTCGATAATTATAAACATCTTTTTAACCATGACATAAACACTGAACACATGACAACCCCCCTGTGGAATTATTCAATTAATTTTATTTCCTATACAAATTCTAAATTTATTATAATAATTTATAGTTCTCACAAATAATTCAATTTTTTAAGCGTTTTAACGTAATAAATGTTTTTATTACTTAAGGATTACATCCTGTTACAGGGAATGTAACAGACTCGATCATCATTTATCATAAGATAAAAGTACAAAATATAAATTAATTGTTTATACAAATCACTAAAACATTATATAATCAGTAAATAATGATGTTAGTAGTAGTAGTAGTACTAGTAATTAATTAATAATTATAATTAAAATTATATTTTCTAATAAATACTCATCTTATATCTGTTAAATAAGGAATTTGACATTTAAAATATGATCAAGTACATTCTAATTTATAATATATTGCAATTGAGTTAATATTAAATTAAATTAAACACATAAATAAAAAAAATTAATAATTTCTACTTATTTATCATCATATCTACGCTCTTGTTTTACATTTCGTCGAGTTATGCCAGTAAAAGTATTTCTTTCTTCCTACAATCTTCTTCATGTATCATCTTGCAGTCTCTTCCAATCCTATCCAAATCCTCTTTAATCCGATTTCTCCATCTTTTTCTAGGTTTTTCCACTTGGTCTATTGCTTTTTATTTTCTGTTTATAATATTTCTCTTATATTTTTAATGGTGTAACATGTAAGATTTTTATTATTATTATTAATATTTAAAAAGTAAAAATATTTTTTAAGTAAAAGTAATATTCTAGAATCGTTTCAATTACAAAATTTTTTAATAATTTTTTAAAAAATGTATATATAGTTCTAAATGGGCATATTTTTCATTAGCAGATTTAATTCTCTTCAATTTATCTTAAAGCCGACTAGTTTTTACCTACGTAAACCGTACTCAAATATCCATTAAGCAAAGTGAAATTTTTAAAATACTAACTAAACTAGATATTTTTTTCTTTCTTTATTTTCTTTATTTTAAAAATTTATCACTTTAATTTCAAATACTTTCTCCATCATTCTAAAAATGATCTTTCTAAAAATGTAGTAATACATTAATAAGAAATTTTTAGATCATCAACGTGAGCAAAGATATGGAAAATTTTTTAAATAACTTAAAAAAATTAAAATAAAATAAAATTTATCGGAATGAAATATATATTTTTTTTTAATTTGAAAAGATCTTTATTTTATTATACGATACAATAATTAATAAAATAAAATTTATTTAATTAAATTTAGTCTTTATTCGAATGATTAGACGTTCCCAACTTTAATTTTTTTTTTTTTTGTTGCTGATCCCTTTCTAAAATTATATTTAATTGTCGATCCCTGTTACACTGATACAAAATAATTATAAATTACAAAATAGGAATTAAAAATGTTTTTTTTATTAAACATAAATGTAATTTAAGTGATTTTATTTACCTTTAAATGACCCTTAGTAATTTATCGTCCCCCAGATAAATCAA